TGGTTGGTTGTGTAGGTTCAGTGAGGTCTACTCCTCTTCCTCTAGCAGAATTTGCTCCTGGATTCTGTGGTTCATTCTTTGGCAATTTTTTAGCTGAGAGATAAATATCAAAATAAACAGAATTAGAAAATTCATACTAAAATTTCCATCTATGTGTTATAGTAACCCCAAAGTTTCACACAGCCACGTGTTCATTGATCTCAAGTGTTTGAGTATCTATTAAATGCCAAAAAAAATTAAGTTGCTGTTTTTTTTTTTTTTGGTACCAGGGATTGAACTTGGGACCTTGGGCTTACGAGGCAGATAGCAGAGCTAAATCTGAGCTAATTCCCCAGCCCTCATAGGTTGCTGTCTTACCAGAAGTTAATTTCTGAATGTTTCTGAGAAGGGGTGGATGGAGAACAGTTATTCATATATAAATGAAACTTACAAGAGTTATATATAATTATTTTTTATTTTCAGCCCAGGGTGCTCTCTCCTTGAACCACATCCCTGAGACAGGGTCTAAGATGCCTAGCCTTTGTGATCCTCCAGCCTCAGCCTCCTAAGTAGATGGGATTAGAGGCACCATTCTGTCTATATAATTCTTTATATAGATTCACTTAATACTAGAAAATTTGTGCTTTACTTCATAATCATTAATACTTCTATTGAAGAAAATCTGTCAGGTACAGCTTATAGTCTTAGCTACTATGGAGATTGAGATATGAAAAATACTTGAGTTCAAGAACAGTTTGGGCTGCTGGGAATAGAAGTGTACACCTGTAATCCCTGCACTTTTGAGGCTGAGACAAGAGGATGCCATGTTTAAGGCCAGCTAGGCTACACAGCAAGTTTAAGGTTGGCCTGTATATAGAAAGACATGTCTTAAAAAACAACAACAACAACAACGACCTATAAAGTGTTTTGGAAACACTTTTTTTGAAGCAGGATCTTGCTCTGTAATTTAGGCTGGCCTTGAACTCACTATGTAGGCCCCCAAGCTTATCTGGATCTCATGGCAATCCTCTTGCTTCAGCTTCCTAAGTGCTGGCATTGCAGCCATGTGCCACTGCACCCAGCCAGAAACACTTTTTAGAACAAGCCAGGATATAAACACATACCACCCCTAAGCACCACTCCAATAAAGCATGTCCTCTACTGTGCAACTTAAATTATGAAACAGAATTATGAAATACCACATCCCTTTTTTTCTTTGCTGGCTTCCACAACTTTTCCTCTTCAAGCATCTACATTTTTCTCCTATGGGCCAGTTGCACCAGTAACTGTGCCTAATACAAATGGAACTGATCTGAAAGAGTCTATTTCCAAAACTAGTTCCAAATATTATTTGAGTGAGATGAGCATAGATTATCAAATGTTAAAAGCCCTACTGACCAGCATTTATGGCTTTACTTCTGCTATGTTATATACAGCTAATGGCTGTTCTCTGGAGTATGCTTCCTACTAAGTAGAATTTTACCTGCTAGATAGATGTAGTTCATTTTAATTTCTAAAACCCTTGAGGTATGGGTTCACTTTTTGAGGGAAAGGGGTAGTAACATTAAATATGTCTAAGGGTGTCTGGACACTAGTTTGTCATCATCTTGGGGATACAATGTCATGTAAGACTCTAACTTTATCATATAGCCTTGATCCAGGTTACTCAGAGGTTGAGTATGCTCTATTTCAAAATCTGAATGCTAGCTGGCATGGTGGCACATGTTTGCAATCCCAGCACTCTGGGAGGCTGAAGACAGACAGACTCCATGTTTGAGGCCAGCCTATGCAAACTGGCAACTTTGTGAGACCTACCTCAACATAAAAAATAAAGGACTAGGTACATAGCTCAGTGTAAAGGCCCTAGGTACAAGAAAGGCCCTAGGTACAAGCCCTAGTACTGCAACCAAAACAATGCTGAATGCTTAGTTGCATTTTGGATCTTTTACTCTGTATTGGTCCTCCATATTCCACACCAGTATTTATCATCTTGTTATAATCCTAGAAGGTAGGCTGGGCACTAGGTCTGGAAGTCAGGAGGGGACACTAAAGTTTGGGAAAAAGGTCTTCACTGGACCACTTTTTATAGGAATGGCTCTAGAAATGATAGCATGAATGGTGACATAATGATAAATTTCTAGTCAAATATATTTAAAGTAATGCCCTATAGTTGGTAAACATGGACACCAGAGAAACAAGATAGCATAAGCTGTACTATAAGATTAAGTCAGGTTTTTGCGATGAGCAAACATTTCTCCTGTCAGCACAGTTCTCTAAAGGACTTTGTGTAATTACATCTAACTGAAATTAAGAGGTTGGAAGAAATAAACTTTGTAGTCTCTGAATTGATTAAAACTGCTGAGCACATTACTGTGGGACTCAAGGTATTAATTTTATGAAGACCAAAATCCCATTTCTACTTGGGAATTCTTTCAAAAAGGAAAATATTCCAATCGCAGGGAGAAAAAAATCCCTAAGTCTATTTTGCAGGGTAATTTCTAATGAAAAATGACCTTAACAGCACTCCTGAATAAAAGGTACAAATTAAAGACAGCCTAGTATTTTTTTACTATTTTAAAATGGTGACAGGCATCACATACAGAATCTCATACAGGTTAGGAAAGCATTCTACCATAGAGCTAGTGCAGTCTTAATACCCTAAGAGTTTTGAAGCTCAGGCTGATTTCAGGGACCTACTATCTCCTTGGTTCCTGTTATTTTAGATGTGATTCTGGGTGCAATCTATCCCATTTGTAAAACAAGCAGACTATGTGGCCGGGAATTTAGCTCAGTGGCATCACACCTGCCTTGCAAGTGCAATGTCTTGAGTTCGATCCTGGGGAGAGGGGTGGAACATACAAGCATACCATGACACAATCTTCCACAACTGTACTGTATTTCCCTGCCATGTGGTTTCCAGAAAAACACTTTACACAACAGACAGGAGAGGTTTTTTGTTTTGGTCTGTTTGCATTTTAAATAGGCTATCATTAAACTTGGCCACCTAAAAAAAGCATTAGAGTACTTAGCAGTTATTAGCTGGCTGGGTGGCTTTCTGCCTCTCCTTTTTTTGAGACAGGCTCTTGCCACATAGCTTAATCTGGCCTTGCTTTCAATCCTCCTACTTTAACCTCCTCAGTACAGGGATTACAAGTGTGCACCACCATGCCCGCTCTTCCTGGGTTTTCTTTAGCCTCTGATTCAGTTATTAATTGGTTAATCTGTCCAAATTTGCTGGGTGTGGTGGTGTATGTCTGTAACCCCAGCACTAGGGAGGCTGAAACAGGAGGATTGCCTCAAGTTGGAGGCCATCCTGAACTACATGAGACCATATCTCAAAAACCAGAAAGATCAATTAGCCAAGTGTGGTAAGTGCATGTCTGTAATCCTAGCATTCAGGAGTCTGAGGCAGCAGGAATAACAACCTGGGCTACATAATGAGACCTTGTCTCAAAAAACCCCAATCAACCAAACAACAACAAAAACCACAACCAAAGAAGGGCTGGGGATGTATCTCAGTGCGAAGGCCCTGGGTTCATCCCCCAAGACACCTGTCCCCAATCTAATGCCAGGTAATCTACAGTAAAAAACCAATCTTTGGTGCTGAGGATTTATCTCAGTGGCAAAGCACCTGTCTAGCATGCTTGAGACCCTGAGTTATATCCCCAGTACAGTACCTCAAATAACTGAAAGTGTGAAGGGCCAGGGATTTAGCTCAGTGGTTCTGCTGCCTGCCTTGCAAGAGCAAGGACCAGAGTTCAATCCCCGGTACCAAAAAAAGAAAAGAAATTGTGAAGAAAAAGCAAAATTTGTGCTAATTTTGCTGTTGCCCCTCAAACTACAAATGTTATGGCTGGAGTGAGTGCTAAGTGGTTAGTTAAAATATAATAGGCAGGGCTGGGGATTTAGCTCAGTGGTTCCGCCTGCCTCCCAAGCTCAAGGTACCAAGTTTGGTCCTCGGTACCAAAAAAAAAAAGTAAAAGGCAACCAAAAAAAGAAAAGGAAGGAAGTTTGAGCCATTTACCCAGCATCTTGGAATGTATTCCACACAGATCAAGAGGGATATTACTGTATACAAAAGTAAACAATAGGAAGAAAACATGTATTTACTCAAACTTTTCAGTGAAACCTTCAGAAAATATATTTTCTTAGATCAAAGCACAAGCATAACTCAGATGGAAAGAACTTGCCTAAATTGATAGTTATTACACAATTAATAGGTAATAATCTTTCATAATTTAGCAACATTAACAAAGTAGTGTTTGGAAGAGAGGACACAGAAAAGAAGTATAGTTAATTTTTTAAAAATCAAGAATTTTAGGGGCCGGGGATTTAGCTCAGTAGTTCTGGTGCCTGCCTTGCAAGCACAAGGTCCCAAGTTCGATCCCCAGTAACAACAACAACAACAACAAAAAAAAATCAAGAAATTTAAAATAGATAGTAAAACCCAAATATGTTCCATCATTGTATTGGCTATCATTTTAAAAAATTATTAATCTTACCTATTGCCATGAATATTTCATTTACATTCATTGATGTTTTAGCTGATGTTTCCATGAATAATAAACTGTTGTCATCTGCATAGGACTGTGCTTCCTGTTCAAAGAGAAAAAAATAAGACATATCCCTCAGACACATACTAGATCTGCTTTATTTGTTATAGAAAAAGGAGGCTTCCTTATCACCTGCACTTCTAACTTGATTACCTAAATCCAACAATTGTGTGGTAAACTATTAACATTAAGTAAAAGCACTAGGCTGGTAATTTTACCATGGAATATTTTCTTTTTTGCCTACCTTGACTTGGTTCATCTGGTCTAACATTAAATACACTTTGGAAGCTGGGGATTTAGCTCAGTGGCACTGAGCCTGCCAAGCAAGTGCAATGTTCTCAGTTCGATTCCTGATACCTAAAAAACATATATACTTTGGAATGAGTTTGAAGGGGGAGGATTATCCTATTCTAAATATAAAATGGTCTTGGATCACAATGGCATTTACGCTTATGTTAACACTGGCTTTAACCACTGAATGACACTCATTGTTTAATTTTGAATTATCTAATGAAGCATTCCTTTAAAAATGACATTACTACCCTACCTTTCTGTCACACTTTCTAGTTTACATATATCACTCCCTTTGATCCTCACAGCTGTTCTGAGAAGCAACCAATTGTCTGTCCAATTTGACAAAGAAATAACTTTGAACTTAGGTTGCTTTGAACTGTTACATGACAGGGGCACTTTTGACTATAAATGTTCTACCACTTTATAATAATGGGAAGGTAACTAGGAAAGAATAGTACATGTTACTAAAACTCCTATGGTTGTCACAAATTAAATTAAACTACCTCTGTAATGTGCTAGTTTAATACCTAATGATTCACGAAATAGCTGTCTTTCTCTCCGAGCCTGTGTCCCATCTATGATCACTACAAGAAGAAAATTTGACCAGGGATTAGCTCAGTGGTTCCGCTGCCTGCCTTGCCAAGTGGAAGGACCCGAGTTTGATCCCCAGTACCAAAAAAAAAAAAGAAGAAAATTATTCCATCACCAATATTATATACATAATGACCGCAACCAGACTCTTTCAGGAAAAGAGCTAAAGAACAGGAGACAGAGGCAGCTTTAAATAATTAGAGAACATTCATTCATTGTCCCTCCCTCTCTGTGTGCTTGTGAATGTGTTTACTGGGAACTGAACCCAGGAACTCATGCTAGCCAAGAGCTCTACCACTGAGCTACACCTACAGCCCTTTTTTCCCTACATTTTTTTTAAACTTTTTTTTTGATACTGGGGATTGAACTCAGGACCTTAAGCTTGCCAGGTAGGCACTGTGACATTGAGCTAAATCCCCAGCCCTGTATTTTTTTTCCTAAGAGACAGGGTCTCACTATGAAGCCCAGACTGACCTCAAACTCATGATCCTCCTGCCTCAGCCCCTCCAGTGCCAGATTATAAGTGTGTGCCATAATTCCTGGCTCATTTTTGCTTTATATTATTATTATTGGTTTTTTGAGGCAGGGTCTTGATATGTAGTTCAGATTGACTTTGAACTCACTAATAGCTAAGGCTGGCCTTGAAGGCATGCACCACCATACCTGGCTCCTGGTTCATTTTTTTGGTTTTTTGGTACTGGGGGATCAAATTTGGGGGATCAAACTTGGGACCTTGCGCTTTCGAGGCAGGGGGCGGAACCATTGAGCTAAATCCCCAACATGGTTCATTTTTTCAAATGACTGATTAGTGCTTGTTGTATTTTGCAGCAGAGAATATTCTCAATTAGATATTGAGATAGCAGATAAAAGGTGGAATTTCTAAGACAGGCATGGTGGTGCATGCCTGTAATCTCAGCACTCAGGAGGCTCTGAGGCAGGGCTGCCCAAGTTCCAGGGATACATAGTGAGTTCAAGGCCAGCCTGAACTACAAGGCCCCGTCAAAAAAAAGTAGATTTTTTAAACCTTTATTTTTGAACAGGCCCCCCCCCCCCGCCCTTTTTGAGGCAGGGCCTTGTAGTTCAGCCTGGCCTTGAAATCCCAGCAATCCTCCTGCCTCAGCCTTGTGAGTGCTGGGATTACAAGTCAGTACCACCACACCTGCTGAACAGCCTTTTAAGGATAGGGATGAGTATGCATGTTTGTGTAAACATGGGCATGTATATGTGTGCTGATATATAGTATATTGGGAGATGAGCAGAAATGAGACAGGAAGACACAAGTGGCTATAGGGATGAAGCTGGAGGCACTTTCTCCCTTATGTGTTTCTGCACTGTTTGCAAATAATTCTTTTGTAGTTGTTCAGGTCAAGCAAATTACTGAATAATTTACAATAACATAAGAATATTGTTTTCAGTGGTTCTGCTGCCTGCCTCGCAAGCGCAAGGTCCCAAGTTCGATCCCCAGTACCAAAAAAAAAAGGTACTGTTTAAAGGTTTACTAGAAGTATCTTTTTTCTTCTGAGGTATCAGAGATCAAACCTGGGGTGTTATGTAATATGCTAGGCAAATGCTTTACCACTGAGCTAGACCTCCTGACCTTCAGGAGAAATATTTTATTGCACATGGCACTCTACATTTATTTGTTTGTTTTGTGCATATTTGTATTAAAATCTGTATTTTAAAATTATTTGTATGGCTTTTATTTACAAAAATAATGGCTTCAAGTAAAAAATTCAACATACCTGGAAATCTACAGCTCTTTTATTTGCTAGATCAGCCTTGTTTCCCGATAAAGCTATTACAATGTTAGGACTTGCTTGCCTCTGAAGTTCTTTAACCCAGTTTTTTGCTCTTGCAAAAGATTCCTGTTAAACAAAGGAACAGATATCTGGCATAAGCTCACAAATGGTCAGGAAGCATCTTTATGAGATGAGGCTTTAAAAGACTTCTAAGGTGACTGCAGGAAGGAAATAGTATTTGTATTACTTGAAGCATTTTCACCCAATACTTTTACTTACAAAAGCTTTGGCAGAAAGGTTATGATTGGCTATAAAAACTTTTCTAGCAAAAATTGTGAATAACAAAAATGTTACGTCAAATTAGTTTCAATGTAAGAGGCATTTATACTTACCTCATTTGTGATATCATATACAACTATGGCTGCTTGTGCTCCTCTGTAGTACATTGGTGCTAGGCTATGGTATCGTTCTTGACCAGCTGTATCCCATATTTCAAACTTTACTGTTGTGTCATCAAGACACACAGTCTGGGTTAGAAAAGCAGCTGTAAAAAGGAAATATCAGTAAGTTCACTATTTTCTCCCAAATGTTTTCATAATATAGAAAACACCCAGGAAATTTGATAGATTGTGTACACATAATTAACCTGGACTTTGGGTATTTGTAAAATCTGGGCTCCAAGCTAGATCTAGATCATTTAAAATATATGGGAAAAAGTACACAGATTATATAACTAATACCCTTTAATAGAAAACTTAAATACCTGTAGATTTTTGTAGGGGATTCTGGAACTAATTCCCCAGATACCTAAGGATGAATGTATACTTCTAACATCTACATTGCTAACACTATCCCATTCCATTCTGTTTTTTACTGCTATATTCTAGTGATTTAGTTCTAGTTCATTACCACCAAATTAATATTTCTCGTATTATCTTTAAAGCATTATAATACTTTAATTTTGCTAATCATTACTACAACATAGGTTAAACTTGTTAAACAGATTTAATATTCACTCCTACCTTAATCTGTCCTAAGCATTTTTTTGGATTTGTACTTTTTCAGCTGTACTTGCCTGATTCTTATTTCAACACTAAGAAAGTACCATTTATAAAATGACACTTCATTGTTAAAATTCAGAGGGACATGCAGTGGTTAGGGATGCAGTTTAATACCATGCAAGAAGCCCTGTCAATCACAGCCAATGCCTTCCTGCAATGACCACAGCCAATTTTAGCAGCTTGCTGGCTGACAGCCACCACACCTTGTAACTCCTCTCCTCCATTACTGTTGGTACTTAAGACAACTACTGCTGCCCTCTAATTGTAAACTGCCATGTTCCTCCTCCCTATTAATTTCAGATCAAGTTTTGACATTCAAATCATTTCCCCAAATTGGTATAGATGTGAATTATAAAATTTTCTAAAACTGTCATATTTTCCAAAGGAATTATGATACAATTGTCTACATTGTATCATTGTAGCTAGTTATTTGAATTTTTCATGAACTCTCGTAATAGCAAATGTGATAAGCCTACTTAAATGATGTCTAATATTAGATGTAACATTTATTTTTCATGCTATTTCAACTGGTTGTTTTTTACAGTATTAGCAAATATATTTGCAAACATAATCTGGACATATCTTTAGCTAGACTTAAATTAACAGTTCTGTGAATTTACACAAGTACAGTCATATTTTAAATATATCCTACTTCACTTCAAATTTCTGAGTGTAGTGGTAAACATCTGTAATCCCAGCTACTTGGGAGGCTGAGGCAGGAGGATTGCCAAGAATTTTGGCCAGCCTGGGCTACACAGCGAGTTCAAGGCCAACCTGGGATGGGGATGCAGCTGAGTAGTAGAGCACTTTTTAAGCATGCTTTGAGACTCTGGATGCAATCTCTAGTACCACAAATAAACAATAACAAAAAGCAAAATTAAACAAAAGCTTCTTTTACCAAATCAAACCAGCAGAAGTATGTCTTTTCAAATCTTGTATTTGTTAAAAAGACAAAAGTGTTATGAAAAATTCTCTTGTAGAAGCAAAAGTATTTTTAAATAACTACAATTAAGGCCTTGAGACAGCTGTTCCTTATTTAATAAAAATGAAAAGGAGGGTTGGGGATTTAGCTCAATGGTTCTGCTGCCTGCCTTGCAAGCGCAAGGTCCTGAGTTCGATCTACAGTACCAAAAAAAAAGAAAGAAAAGAAAAGGAATCCATCATAAAGTATCAACTTTTCAAATGTAATTTGATGTAAACTTGCAAAAGATTTAGAAGTTGTATTTATATTGTTTTTTCTTTAGATATAGTACAATCTCAAAGTACACTAGTAGTAAAAATATTCATTTATATGTCTATAAATCAATTCTAGGCTCAGAGAAATAACTGTTATGCCACCTTTGGAAAATATGGTCCAATTTTCAAACAAGTTAAAGCCATCACAAAAGACTAGTAATCTTTTTTATAAGTGTATGAATGGAATGCCAAATAAAATACAGGCAAGGAAATATCAACAAATACATTAAAAGAACACTAGCCTCTAAGCAAGCAGACTCAGAAATGTAAAGCTATTACACAAATAAACTAAAAGTTGTTTTTACTGGAATAAATTACAAAAGCAAGAGTCAACATCCAGTGCTAATTCTCTCTCAATTTTGGAACAAGAAAGTGTACTATTACTGTAATTTAATATTTTTTCACATATTCTTATAGTAATAAAAGTAATATATTGGGAAGAGACAGTTCAAAGAAGCAAGACTCCCATGAAAATTCAAAGGTATCAGCTAAAACAGACAAATTCTTTAATTTGGGTAAAAGAGACTAAAAAGTCAACATCTTTGTAATACACAGGCAATAACCAGGTGAAACATGTTGAAAGGGAAAAGGATCCCAATTAGAGGATATACGACTGTTCCTCAATTCCACTCAAACTCTCCTTCATCGCACCCTAGTTTGTATCTAATACAAAATGCTCCCAGCATTCCTTGCACAATAACACACTTCACACTTTTTATAAACTGTTTTATACTTTTCTTTGCAACTGGGGAGCTCCTTGAGGAATGACTATTAGCTCATCTCTATCTTCAGTATCTAACATAAATCCTACCTAGTTCACAGAGATACAAGAAATGTCTGCTAAAAGAATAGTTTAAAGGGGCCGGGGATTTAGCTCAGTGGTTCCGCCGCCTGCCCCCGCAACCCCCTGCGTAAGGACCAGAGTTCAATCCCCTGTACAAAAAAACCAAAACAATAGTTTAAAAAGATGTATGGGGTTGGGTGTGTTGAAGCATGCCTGTAATCCCAGTATTTGGGAAGCTGAGGCTGCAGGACTGCTGTGAGTTCAAAGCCTGCCAGATCTACACAGTGAGACTCTTTGCCAAAGTGTGGCATCATTTAAGGGCTACTTAAGTAACATCTGAATAGAGTTCCCAGGAACTCTAAATTATTTACAGATTGAGCATCTCTAATGTGAAAACCTGGTTAGGCATTATAGCACATACCTATAATCCCAGCTAAGGAGGATCACAAATACAAGGTCAGCCTGGGTAACACAATGAGACCTTATCTCTAAAAAGCGGAAAGATGCCTTCTAAAATTCAAGAATTTAGGAGCACCAACATAATACTACAGTAGAAAAATTCTGTACCATAAAACTGTTTGATATACACAATTATTAAAAATATTCACACACACAAAGATATCCACACAATTATTAAAAATATTCTGTAAATCCCAACTACTTTTGGATAACAACCTTATACTACTAATGTAATCCCAGCCAGAAACACCATTTTAGCATTTCTGATTTGAAAACACTGTTCATGCATGATTTAAAAAGTTTAACTCTGAGAAAGAGAAAAAGACCATCAGCAGAGGTCCAAGAGTAAGTACCACAATATGTCAAAATTTATGAAAGTGCTACAGTGCCAAAAGGACAGAAATATTACTGGACTAGAACAGCCCAAAATAAACAATAGGCACAATATATCCCAAGACTTCAGGGACTCCAGAGCTCAAGCTGTCAACTACTAAGGGTCTAACGTCTCTAAAATTCAGTGCAGTATAACTTTTAGGTGAAATGTTTAAATTTCTAATGTGCTTCTAAATGCACATTACTAATCATTTATAAAGTTATAAAGTCTGCCTCTCTAAATTTAAACTAGCACATCAATACTGTAGCAACATTAACCACAAACTTACCTGAATCTGCAAAACCACTTTAATTTATCCAAAATGTCTATTTTCTGGCTAAGAACCATCACTTTCTTAGACCTCTTCATTTTCTCTTCACTTTCATCATCAGAACTAGCAGTTGGTTTTCTTTTCAGGCCCATATTTCATAAACAAACAGCTTTTATCACTTCGAGAGTTACTGTGTATGCGACGACAAGCAGAGAAAAAGCTGTGTTGAGACGCAGGTGCTGGCTGGCCTGTCTAACACACTCCCTCTTTGAACTACATGATGAGCTCTTATTAGTAAGCATGGCGGCAATCATGAAACATTTCATTCTAAACAAAAGTCCACATTTCTGTACCAGAGACCCACCATGGGGGTCAGTTGAAACAGGTGAAACTATAAATGTTAAATCTGTAAATACCAAAGGTCTTAAAAAAATAATATGCAAGAATGATACACTGGACAAGGGAAAAATATCCTGATAGCATTAAATCAAAGATTAAAAAAAATAAAGTTAACCTCTCTCCCCAACAAATAAAATGATCCTACAAGAACCAAACAGAAGGAGAGAAAAAAACTAAAAATCCGAGGAGCTAATAACATCCCTCACTGGGCTGGGGCTGTAGCTCAGCAGCACAGCACCTGCCTGGCAAGTGCGAGGTGAGTTCCGCTCCTGAAACCAACCAAACAAACAAGGCACCTTAACACTATCCCTCAACCTCAGATTACTATTTTTTCCAATGCTACTTACTGATTGACCTAGGGCTTCACTCATCCTAGGCAAAAACACTCTATCACTGATCCAATCCCTAGCCCTTTAAGTTATTATGTATTAAATTGGACATATATTGTTTTATTACAATTAACCAAAAATCCTACATAATACCATTGAATTTGATAACACAAAGATATGAGATTACAAAACATGTCATATATCCCTACAGAAGGGAGAAAAATTTCTACAGTGGTTGCTAAATGGTTGATTTATTTTTATATTTTGATTTTTTGAGACAGGGTCTTGTATGTAATTCATCCTGATCTTTTTTTTTTTTTGTACCAGGGATTGAGCTCAGGTCCTTGTGCTTGCAGGGCAGGTCGCAGCACCACTGAGCTAAATCCCTGGGCCTAATTCATGCTGATCTTGAACTCAATATGTAGCCCAGGCTGCCCTCAAACCTGTGATGATCCTCCTGATTCAGCCTGCAATTATAGGCATATGTCATCATACCCCACTTCAGGATTATTTTCAGCATGTTGATATAAATCTTAAGAAAAAACTGTAATGATTTAAAGATAAATACGTAAAGACAATTGGCAAAAGGAACAGAAAAGCAGTCAAAAGTTACTAATAATGAATACAATCAC